GGAATGTGGAATGGATACTGGAAGAAGGTGGTTATAAATACCATCTATGACCACATGACCAGTTACAGACCCGAGGACTGCAATTGTCATGAGTATTTCCTCCTTATTTTGTTTGAGTATGTATGTATGTGTATCTCAAGTATCTCTGTTTTCTTCCCTCTCTGATCCCTTTATTATGTAACATAAGATGTATTGATTTTATACATAATACTTAGGTTTTACATTTAAAGTTGTGGGATATGAAAGGAGAAGAGTAAAAATCACTCAAGGAGTTTGATCCTCTTGTGAAGGTGTTAGTGATTTTTGGTTGTATGCGAGAGAGTTGTGTCATGTTAGGTGGAATTGTGACCTTGTTATTGTCTTCTTTTGGTGATGAAGGTTTAAGGAGACCTTTATGAGTGCCAAGTTGACAAGGAATTAGTTTTATGTGTCAACTTGACTGAGTCATGGGCTGCCCAGATATTTGAACAAGCATTATTCTAGGTGTTTCCATGAAGGTGTTTTTGAATGAGATTAACATTTAAATCAGTAGACTGAGCAAAGCAGATTGTCCTTCCTAATGTGGATGGGCCTCATCCAATCTGTTGAAGGCCTGAATAGAACAAAAAGCTGACCTCCTGTTGAGTAAGAGAGAAAATTTTTCCTGATGGCTTTTGGACTGGAACATTGGCTTTTTTTCCTGCCTTTGGAGTCAAATTGAAATACTGGCTCTTCCTGGGTCTCAAGCTTGCTGGCCTTTGGACTGGGAACCATTCCATCGGCTCTCCTGGGTCTCCAGCCTCCTAACTCACCCTGCAGATTTGGGACTTATTGGTCTCCATGACTGCATGAGCCAATTCCTTATGGTAAATCACTTTCTGTATAAATATATACATCCTATTGGTTCTCTCTAGAGAGCCCTGACCTAATACACATTTGGTTAATCCTGACTGATATAGATTTAGTCACTGCTAGGTTAAATCGTTTGAAACCACTTTGGAAAGATTAATCCTGCATCACTGTATACGGTGAATAGAAATGAAGAGATACTGGGGAAAGGAAGACCAGTTAAGCTCTTTCAGCTACCTAGGCAACAAATTTCTCTGAGCTAGAAATATAAGTTAAGGAAACAGCAGAGCACATATCATATTTGTAGAACTGGTAATGGTTAAAAGTACTTTGCAACAGACCGTGGAAGAGAGTAGAATGCGTGAACTCTGAGGAACTCCATCATTTATGCAGCTGCAGGAGAAGGTACCTACAGGCAGACTGAGGAGGAGGAGCTGTTGAGTTGAGAGGAAATCAGAAGTCCAGAGTCTTAGAACAGAAGACTGTTGTCAGTTGTGTCTGATGCCACTGAACAGCCATTTGGGATGAGGACAGAGTTGTTCAATAGTTTTGGCATATAGAGATTGTTTGTGATTTTACCTGTGGTTTCAGGGGCTTCAAAAGATTAGATGCCAGACTGGAATGGCTTAAACAGTGAATAGAAGGAGAGAAAAGAGAGACAGAATATGTAAGACGGCCCCTCATAAGAAGCTTTGCTGGGAAAGGGAGCACAGAAACGGGATTGTGGCTGTAGGGGCATGCTCTGGAGGGAGAGTGGGATTGACCTTTGATAGGAAGAGAGACACTTCCTCCACTGTGAAAGGAAGGAAGGACAAAGTAAGTGTAGATGCCTATCATATGCGTTTGAAGGTGGGAAAATGAGTGCATTTTCATGTAGGGACTTTCACTTTGCAGTGGAGTATGAAGGAGAGTTATCAGCTGAGACCCAGAGAGGCAGAAGGGGTGTTGGAGGTCTGCAGAGTTGAGGAACAGACGGCCCCTTGAGGGAAAGTCCTGAGTGGGGATGGGGATGAAGCTTTCTGGGCAGCTCTGGGGTCTTTGCTGAGGTCGGAAGCCATCATTGGTGTTGGTATTTACTGTGGATTCTTTTTTTCAGCTCGGGTGGGGGTGGGGTAGGGATATAGATGACTAGATTCATCCAAGCACGTAAGACTCTCAGTTACACGTAACTTCTATGCGAGAATAATTGCATTAAGACCTTCTCGGCCTTGGGACTTCCACGGTGGTCCAGTGGCTAAGACTCTGCACTCCCAATGCAGGGGGCCTAGGTTCGATACCTGGTCAGGGAACTAGATCCCACATGCTGCAACTATGAGTTAGCATGCCACAACTGAAAGATCCCGTGTGCCGCAACTAAATATCCCACACGTGGCAACAAATATCCCATGTGCTGCAACTGAGACCTAGCGTAGTCAAATAAATAAGTAAGTAAATCCTTCTCAGCCTTAAAAAGAATGTACTGAACATAATTTAACTTTTCTTGATGTCTAAGGTTTTCATTATATTAGCTATGATGCTCTGATTGTTAAAGTGATTGCTCTAGGTTCGAGTTGACGGGTGTTTGTTACACATACATCACAATGCCCGGTTCTGCTGACATTGAACTGAAAGGTAAAATCCCTGCCCTAAGTAGTACCTGTCTGTGGTGAGAGTGTCCCTGGCTGTGTGGACCTTCTGCCAGGGAAACACAGAACAGGTGACCTCTCCAGGACAGATGGGTGGATGGGGGTGGGGTGTCGAGGGAGGTTTGGTCCCCAGAAGAGGTGACGAAAGTAGTCAGCTGACTTGGAACTCAGAAGATCCATTGTCACACAAAACAACTTTGAAAATAGTGGTTAGAGTTCCAGTCAGACCATTAAAAACTAATGAAAAGGGGCTTCCCTGGTGGCGCAGTCATTGACAGTCCGCCTGCCGATGCAGGGGACGCGGGTTCGTGCCCCGGTCCGGGAAGATCCCGCATGCCGCGGAGCGGCTCCGCCCGTGAGCCATGGCCGCTGACCCTGTGCATCCGGAGCCTGTGCTCCACAACGGGAGAGGCCACAGCAGTGAGAGGCCCGCGCAAAAAAAACAAAAACAAAAAACTAATGAAAATATTACATATTTTCAATGAGAAATATTACAAAAAAACAACCCAGTATTATTTAAAAATTAAAAGCTGAGAATTTATAAGCCTTTTATTCATTTTGAAATTTGTGTTGAGAAAATATTATTTCACTTGATAAGGTAGATTTCAGATTTTGTGGAAATTTTTTGAGTGAATGCTTGAGTGCTTTTAAGGGCTGTAACATATGCTGACAGTGTCTCCATGTATTTAACTCATCATCAAAACTTCTGTCTTTTCCTTTTCTTTGGTACCAAATAAACAACTTAAATGGATAAAGAAGATGTGGCACATATATACAATGGAATATTACTCAGCCATAAAAAGAGACGAAATTGAGCTATTTGTAATGAGGTGGATAGACCTAGAGTCTGTCATACAGAGTGAAGTAAGTCAGAAAGAGAGAGACAAATACCGTATGCTAACACATATATATGGAATTTAAAAAAAAAATGTCATGAAAAACCTAGGGGTGAAACAGGAATAAAGACACAGACTTACTAGAGAATGGACTTGAGGCTATGGGGAGGGGGAAGTGTAAACGGTGACAAAGCGATAAAGAGGCATGGACATATATACACTACCAAACGTAAGGTAGATAGCTAGTGGGAAGCAGCCGCATAGCACAGGGAGATCAGCTCGGTGCTTTGTGACCACCTGGAGGGGTGGGATAGGGAGGGTGGGAGGGAGGGAGACGCAAGCGGGAAGAGATATGGGAATATATGTATATATATAACTGATTCATTTTGTTGTGAAGCTGAAACTAACATACCATTGTAAAGCAATTATGCTCCAATAAAGATGTTAAAAAAAAAAAAATAAAGTTGCTAAGGGTTATGGGTAACCAAAAAAAAAAAAAAAAAAACCCAACAGCACAGCACTGACTATGGCTACAAATGGAATAAAGCGAAAGAAAGATGTATGCATGTCTGTATATTAACTGGATAAACATTGGAAAAGGGTGAGCTGGAGGCAGATAACATTTATTCAGTGCGCGTTAAAAGTCACATACTAAGTACTTCCACATGTAGCAAATGCATTTAGTCTTAACAAAACCCCATGAGATGTAGGTATCATTGATACCTATTTTACAGATAAGAAAATAAATAATTTAACTAAAATAAATAATTTGCCCTGAGTCAAATGGTTAGTGGTAAAAGTGGCAAACTCTTACATCTTTGGCTTTATTTCCTGTGTTCTTCCCTCCAAAATAGCTAAGGTAAAATGAGCTGTTGGCATTGTAAAATTTTTTTTAAAAGGGTTATTTATCTGTGATTTTTCTGAGCAGAAAAGAAGGTAGTGTTGCGGAATAAAGCAGAATTCCTTGTCTTGGCCAAAGCCAAAGCATTTGTCAGGGTGATAGTAGACAGGGATGTATATTCAGTGTTCATAAATCAGGTTCGTATTTCTTGGGAGATAGTAGTGGTGGAGGTGAGTGGCAGGGAGGATTATCTATGCACTACACTGAAAGTTCAGAGTTTGAGTCTCTCACTTGTTTGCATCATATGAGGGATACGTGTTTCTAATAATTGAATGGAACTCAATGAGCAGTACATATATGGCTATTAATAGATTTTGTTGTTGTTGTTTAAGCTTACGTTAGCTGCTACCAATCATTGATTTTTCAGTCTCAGATCCTTGGTATGTCTATGAAATCCCTAATTAGATAAGCATTGCCATAACAGTTCTGAATGGATATGATCTTTGATAACTCTGTCCGTACTCAATAATATCTTTTGGAAATGTGGAAAATCAACCTGGTTGGTATTGTTGGTATTTTATATAAGTGGAGAATACAGATTTTAGTGTATGATATAAATCTAAGAAACATGAAAAGGGTTTGTGTATGCGTTATATACTAGTTTGAAGAAATCACACAAAAATTTCCATCTGAGATTTTTTTAAAAGCATAGTTGAGACTTTTAAATATCTCTTCAAATTTAATTTGTCATGTTTCTGAAATGGAATAAATCAGACCTAGCTTATCTCATACTAAATATTTTATGCCTTACAGTTAGTTCTATAAAAATGTTTAGTCGTCTCTATTAACCACCTTCCTTAATGTTCCTAGGTTATTGAATCTTTGGGAATTATTATTTATAAGGCACTGGACTATGGCTTGAAGGAGAATGAAGAAAGGGAATTAAGCCCTCCCCTGGAGCAGCTCATCGATCGCATGGCCAACACGGTAGAGGCTGATGGCAGCAATGATGAAGGCTATGAGGCTGCCGATGAAGGTCTGGAGGAGGAGGAAGATGAGAAGAGAAAAATCTCAGCAATCCGGTCCTACAGAGATGTCATGAAGGTAAAGTTTACAATTACCTCTTTCTTTGAAGAGTTGTTATTTCACTTTAAAAAACTGAATGGTGATTTAGCATTTGATAATAGTTCTTAGACTTTCAGCTATAAGTGAAATGTGTTCTAATTTCATTCTTTTACATGTAGCTGTCCAGTTTTCCCAGCACCATCTATTGAAGAGACTGTCTTTTCTCCATCATATATCCTTGCCTCCCTTATCGTAGATTAGTTGACCATAGGTGCGTGGGTTTATCTCTGGGCTTTCTATCCTGTTCCATTGATCTATATTTCTGTTTTTGTGCCAGTACCATACTGTTTTGATTATTGTAGTTTTGTAGTATAGTCTGAAGTCAGGGAGCCTGATTCATCCAGCTCTGTTTTTCTTTCTCAAGATTGTTTTGGCTATTCAGGGTCTTTTGTGTTTCCATTACAAATTAAAAATTTTTTTGTTCTACTTCTGTGAAAAATGCCATTGGTAATTTGATAGGGATTTCATTGAATCTGTAGATTAGAACACTCTCTAACACCATGCACAAAAATAAACTCAAAATGGATTAAAGACCTAAATGTTAGTCCGGATACTATAAAACTTTTAGAGGAAAACATAGGCAGAACACTCTCTGACATAAATCGCAGCAATATCGTTTTTGATCCACCTCCTAGTGTAATGAAAATAAGAACAAAAATAAACAAGTGGTACCTAATTAAACTTAAAAACTTTTGCATAGCAAAGGAAATCATAAACAAAATGAAAAGACAACCCACAGAATGGGAGAAAATATTTGCAAATGAAGCAACCAACAGGGGATTAATTTCCAAAATATACAAACAGCTCATGCAGCTCTATATCAAAAAAACAAATAACCCAATCAAAAAATGGGCAGAAGATCTAAATAGACATTTCTCCAAAGAAGATAGACAGATGTCCAAAAAGCACATGAAAAATGTGCTCAACATCACTAATTATTAGAGAAATGTAAATCAAAACTATAATGAAGTATCATCTCACACTGGTCAGAATAGCCATCATCAAAAAATCTACAAACAATAAATGCTAGAGAGGGTGTGGAGAAAAGGGAACCCTTCTACACTGTTGCTGGGAATGTAAATTGGTATAGCCACTATGGAGAATAGTGTGGAGGTTCCTTAAAAAACTAAAAACAGAGTTACCATATGATCCAGCAGTCCCACTCCTGGGCATATATCTGAAAAAAACCCATAATTCAAAAAGATACTTGCACTCCAGTGTTCATTGCAGCATTATTTACAGTAGCCAAGACATGGAAGCAACCTAAATGTTCATCGACAGATGAATGGATAAAGAAGATGCAGTGTATATATACAGTGGAACGTTACTCATCCATAAAAAGAATGAAATAATGCCATTTGCAACAACATGGATGGACCTAGAGATTAACATACTAAGTGAAGTAAGTCATAGAAAAGACAAATATTATATGATATCACTTATATGTGGAATCTAATTAAAAAATGATGCAAATGAAAAAAAATAAATGAAGTGAATAAGGAACTAAAAATACTCGATTCTGTGATAAATGAAGAGTAAAAAGTTTTCCATTAAGAAACAAAACTGGGACTTCCCGGGTGTGGCAGCGGTTAAGAATCCACCTGCCAATGCGGGGGACACGGGTTCGAGCCCTGGCCCGGGAAGATCCCACATGCCGTGGAGCAGCTAAGCCCGCGAGCCACAACTACTGAAGCCTGAGCGCCTAGAGCCTGTGCTCTGCAACAAGAGAAGCCACCGCAACGAGAAGCCCGCGCACTACAACGAAGAATAGCCTCCGCTCACCGCAACTAGAGAAAGCCCGCGCACAGCAACGAAGACCCAACACAGCCATAAATTTAAAAATAAATAAATTTATATAAAAAAAAGAAGGAAACAAAACTGTGTATACCTCTGAAACTGAGCTAACAGTTTTTGGTAGTGGTTTAGTGGGTATTTGTGGGGGAGAACAGGGCATGGTGAAGGAGGAGGGGACGCCCACCCAACCAACCATGTCAGTTGGTTAACCCTGGCACCAGTCAAATGACAGATGTCATGGCCAGATTGCTCTTGTATAGTACAGATTTGGGAGATGAGACCTGGAGAGTTATTGGAATCTTACAGTTCTACTCAATGACATTCAGTATGTTAACTTATAAAACAAAGATTCTTGGACATTCATCAGTTTGAACTGATAACTGTTACACTGCTTTACTGTTTTTTAAATTTGAGCTACTATGTCTGCCCTCCTGCCTATGTTATTTCTATCATAATATGAAAAATAAACAATTAAAATGCTTTTTTCGAAAGGTTTTATAGATTGGAGGAAAACTAAGTTTACCAATTCCATTCTTAGGAATTTTATTGGAGAATATCATATACTCACCCTTTGTTTCTTAGTTTCTATGTTAACCAAAACTGATCAGTAAAAATTTCCACATCTGTAACAATATGTTCTGAACATTTCTTTTAGCTACCTGAGAAGAAAAATAATTGCTGAAACATTTGACAAGTAAACTGAATTTTATATATCATAAAACCCATTATTCATGGCCAAATAGTGACACATAGGAGTTTGTGATTTGCTCAGTGGGTTGAAATCTTCAATTAGTAAATTGGCTCCTGTTTACATTGTTGGAAGAGAAGACAAGAATTAATTGAAGAAATATATGCTTTCTACTTGTTGAAAGTGGAAATGTGAAACTAAGTTTGAATAATATAAATAATAGAATGTTTAGGAACTTGGAGACAATTTGTTTTTAATTCTTAGTGAGCAAGACCTTTTTATTGTGTAACTTTTCCCCCCCGAACAGTTGTTTATTCCTTCCAGTCTTTCAATTTGGTATATGGTGTGTTACACTTGAAAATTACTTTCACGTCCATTGTTATCTGAGACTTATGGTAACACTGTGAGGTATTGGGTTGGCATTGTTAAACCCATTTTACAAATGAAAGAACTAAGGCTCAGAGAGGCGTGTGACTTGTCCAGCTTCTTTGAACTGAGTGAATGAGAGGAAGTTAAATTCAGAGGTTTATAGTCAGGTAGGACTTAGATTGGACCCCTGGTTTTGCCATTTTTGTACCAATTGTTTTACCCTGGATTATTTAATCCTATGATCCTTATTCTTATGTAAAGAGAGAATATCTGCCTGATTGAGTTTTGTGCAGATTAAATTAAATAACATAATTAATATAAAGTACCTACTATAGTGCTTGTCATGAATAAAAATTTAATAGCACTTACTATATGCCAGGCATTTTTCTAGGTGCTAGGGATATACCAGTAACAACATACAATTGGTCCCTGTTTTTATGGTTCTTAATTGTAATGGAGAAAACCAGGATATAAACAAGTAAAGTATAAACACATATATCATTTTTTTCTGAGTCATTCCAAGGCTTTTTGCCACTGCATATAGGTCAGAATAAATTGCAGGCACAAATTTATGTCAGCGATAGAATGTGTTCTTCTCTTAAATTAAGAATATAACACCTAAAATATTTTTCTTTCAGATTGTTTGTTGAGAAACATATAGAACTAAGTGGAGCCTTTCAGGAAGTATTAAGAAAAGATCATTCTTAAAAATTATTTTCTTATATATAAATATATCCTAGAAAAGATTCCTTCGGTTAACATTAGTTGAAAAGAAAAGGGATTGTAGACGTGAAGTAAACAGTGGTGGTGATGGAGAGTGAAGTATGTAGGCAAGGAAGATTAAGGAGACCAGGGGCAGGATGATGGAAGAGGAGGATGTGAGACAGTGTGTGGAGAGGAAGAGTGAAAGGAGTGTTTGAGAAATGAATGAAGTTACTATGAGAATAGCACATGAGCAGATTCTTCATTTGAGATGAATGTAAAAGTCTCAGCTTACTCATGCCTTCATTTACCTTCTCAGATATTTAGGAAGCATTTAGTTTTCCTTCCTTGTTCTGAGTGCTCTATCAGGTGCTTGGAGATGAACTTAACTGGGGTTAAATGAACCCCAGTGAGGTAAATATTATGGACCTGGTGTCTAGCTAGGTCCATACTAGCCCATACACCTTGGTGTAAATTAGCAATCTGCTTTCCTTCTTCAGGATACTGTACTTCCATCTGTAAGAGAATCATAATAAATAAAAATTTGCAATGTCTGTTATGTGGAGGATGTCCTTCTAGAAGGGGTACCCTTACGAATAATCTGAACATGTGAAAGTGGTGGGCCAGCACAGGTTCATGGGAGGCTTGTAGGGCACAGAGAGGGGCACTGAACTCAGCCTGGTGGATCCTGGTTCTCTTACACAATCCAGTCCCCCTAATTGTCAGGCAATGCAAATAAAGCAATACCATTTGCCATTCTTTTGAAAGCAAGAATTTACTTTTGTTGAAATTAGAAATTACGGTAAATTTTTTTGCTCAGTAATTGATAGCTGCAGTGTAAATTTACATAGCTCTTACATAAAATAATTTGACAGTATATTAAGAAGTCCAAAACTATTCACTATTTATAATAGAAGAATGCTAGAAATATCCCAGATGTCCATTAATAGGGAAATGGTGAACTAACTGTGGTACAGCCAACTAGTGGCGTACTATATCACTATCAAAAGGGCTGTGGAAAGATCTCCAGGATATATCATTTACATGAGAAAACAAGGTGTAGAAAATCATGTATAGTATGCCAGCATTTATCTAAGAAAATGTATGGATAAGAATATATATATATTTTTTTTAAAAAAAGAGGAAAGATAAACCAGAGTAGAAACCAGGACAGGCATTAAAGCTACACATCTATGAGTGTACTAGATTCTGTGGATTTGATTTAGAAACCATATAAATATTTTACATAATTATGAAGCAAAACTGAATATGGAAATATAATCCCCTCAAATCCAAAGCAAACTGAGCCTAACTGTTACCGCATCAGAAATGTGACCACATAGACAGACCTGGAAAGCAACGATCACATAGTAGCAGTGAGCACAGCTGCCACCAGCTCATGGTCTCCGAATACCATTCCCTACTA